AAACGATAATGCTATTGGTAGGTGTAGAAAGAGTAGTGCTCTTCATAATCACTTCTCGTTGATCGGGTGTTATAGCTGAGATATTGTAGGGATTCATTAATACTAATCTAATCTTCACACACACATATCACCATTCGCTGCCATAAAAGTTAATTTGTTCTTGTTGAAATATCTTTGAAGTTGTATTCTATAGTAGTTCTGTAGATTTTTTAGTTTTTTTGTAGTAAAAGGATATTTGTTAGTCTTTTTGTGACCTAAAACACTGGATGTTACAGCTAGAATCCATGGTGGTAAAAGAAACTTTTTTTAAATGTCCGAAATATAAGAAGCGGCGAACACTGACACTACTCAAGTCTTTGAATGTGAGTAATGAAGAAGATTCGGAGATGGCTATCTTTCAGTTAAATACGACCTAAAAATCGGTATTATTTGAGAATTTTCGCTGACGCCAGTAGTTTAGGCAGCTCAGAGCAGGTTATGGTGATGATAATTCAATTGAATTAGAAAAGCTGTTTAAAACAGAGCAGAACAAATGGGATTCCTTGAAAAATAAAAATACGAATTACGAAATGACTGTATATGAAGTAGGCAAGATTTTTTTTGACTTCTAGTTACCGCAATTTATTTTACAGGTATATTTCTTAAATGCTTCAGATGGTTATTATATGTAAATTTTAAGTTCTTCTCGAATGCTGTAGATTGTCCTCCGAGTTTCTCCATCATTTCTAAAGAATTTGGTATCCATTCCTCCACACTGCCATTTGACCAAACCGGTTTACTCCACGGTTCAACTAAAATTGTTTTTAATTTGACTTTTTGTTTATGTTTCTGAACATCGTTCTTTTTCAGCATATGTTTCGTATGGCGCTTGATAAAGCTTGTTTGCGAACGTTCGGTACTTGTTTCAATACGATCCATTTGTGGTGTTGTAGTGGTAGTTTTTAGTGCTTGCTGTGGACGTCGTACTTTTGCCGAATGTAAATCGGTCGTTGTTGATTGAAATGTACGACGTGATTCTGTATGACGCTTTGATGACATCATCGACAATGGTGAACTACGATCGAGAACACTTTCACGAGTTATAGCCGATTGACGCAATTGGACACTAACAGAATCAACACTAATTGGATTTGGTTTTGAATACAGCCGAGTGTTACCAATCGTTTTTATACGACCAAAACTATTCATATACGAGGAACTATCAAATTTTGAGTCCTAAATTCAAAACATGATGTAGCCTAGGAGTGTCCTTGCAGCGATACTGATGCTTTTACTTGATGTTGCACGGGATAATCTTCAATTGTTGAATGTTTTGGAATACGTCTTGGTGAAACTTTAACACTTGTATTTGAATTATCAAGAAATGTATCGGTTGTAGATCGAAAATGTTTTGGAAATTCAATAACGCTGGTCCTATCATCATTATTGTCTTTATTTTCTTTAACATCTGACTTTACACGATAATATCCTGCTGATTTTTTATAATCATCAATTGGCGTAGGCATTGGTGAACTTTTCCGGCTATTCACGACACTCAATTTCCTCTGTGGTATTATCGTTGATGATGTTTCTGGTACAACAGTGTCCATATCTGATTTCTGATCTGGTAGCACTTGTGTAAGAATGGAACTGCTTTGACGTCGAATGTCGTATAGTTCACTTAACAGTAAATCATCTTCAAGACGTAAATTATTAATATCAACAGTTTTTATATTCAATTTCGTACGTGATGACGATGATAATGATGGTTTTCGATAAACAGAAGGTAAAATGTTTCCGTGGTTATTATTCATTATAACATCAGTCCAGTGTAAATAAATTGGAGAGTAAGTAACTATTCGATGCCATTGATCTTCGCCAAATGGGCTCAACTGAACGGTGGCTATATGATCAGAGAATGTATTCGATGGGCTATATTCAAACTGAGCTGGTTCGGAGCCCATTGAGGCAAATGCACCAGAATATCCACTCACCAAGGACGTCTAAAGAAAAAAATTTGTTACGAATCATAGTAGAACTCAAGACACTCTAAATCGTTGCATCGTTAGTCTGTTATTCTATGTGCATTACAATCAATTTACTTGTACAAAATTTCTAATCACTACTATACATTTTGTATGTGATAAAGCCAAAGCGTATGTGCTGATTATCCTTTCTGAAATAAAAGCTTTCCAAATTTAAATATCGCTAAGAGATTATAAGAATGGATTAACTTATTTTGGCAAAACGTTTTTCATGCACGCAATTGTACTAGAAAAACGCTGGACTCTGTTCAATGACTTCATCAAATTTTGATGAAATTTTTCATTTCGAAGTAATAGATTGAAAGTTTCACATCTATTTTTCGCTTTTCCCGAGATATACCATCTATACTGCTAACATGTATGCCATTCATATGCGAACAAAATGATGTTATAGTATCTTATCTTTTTACTCTAACCAGACTGATCTAGATTATCATGTCTAGACTATGAATATCATCGATCATAGCCTTCATATTCTGACTTTAATGTTACATTTAAGTTCGAAAACATTCTTCCTCTCAGGCACAAAAATACTTCGTGAGATGAATTTTTGAGAGCGGATTTGAACCCACCAAGCCTTTTACAAGCTAGTTGTATTTTGTATGAATTAGAGAAACGTTTTCTCGACGAAGTCGAGAAAATAGATGTTTGTCAAATTATTTGTAACACTTTCGAAACGCTAGGAACACGTATTCGGTACTTATCACGAAGTTTCAAGCGTTTTTATGCTGTTATCTGGGTCATCCATATCTTATTCCTAGCTAAGCGTTACTCTTTTACTCATGTGAAGTCAAAAACGAAAAAACCATATAACTTATACAAATGCTTGACTGACTCACAGTCGGTGCATCTCTCTTTGCTTCAATATGTTACTTCGAGATGAAAATTTCATCAAAATCTCACGGGATCATTGGATATAGTCAAGCGTTTTTCGGTGCAGTGAGTTACTGTCACAGATATATGACAATTGGTGTGAAAAGAAATCGAGAAATTTTCGTTTACCGGCATATCTTCAGTTTTATCCGATAACCAGAATTAGAACCTAAAATGAATTGATTATTATATTATTCTGCTAGTCTAAAATGTGGCAATAGTTTTCTTTCTTTCTCTCCCCTCTTTGCCTTTTTGTTTTAAAAATTCTTTTAGTTAAAAAAAACAAGGTAATTTTCATACATTTTTCTGCTAAAATGATATGCTCTTTGATGCTGTTATGTTGTTGTTGTTAATTTGTTGCCCCAGTCAGAGAAGAGTTTTTTTGTTGAAAACGACAAAAAACTTGTTCAATTATTAACAATGCGCATGTATATTCTTCTTTTCAAAACGAACGGGAAAGAAATACGCTTGAAATCGATCATAAATTTCGATAGGTATATGTATGTGTGTATGTATGTATGTATGTATGTATGTATGACCAGAAGAAAAAATCCTTACATATGTTTGCATTATTTCTACTGTTAAATGCATTTCTTTCTTCATCGTATAACTAGCAAGAGAAAAAAAATGAATTCCTTTTTTATACAAACAAACTTATAAAAAAACTTGAGCTGATTAATGAAATGCACTTGTCACACGTAAGAATTAAAAAAAGCTGTCAAGACTTATAAACATGTTCAACTTTTCACCAAGGCTGACTATAATGTGTCGCTTTTCGAATCTTTATATAGCAAAACCGAGCAAGTTTAAAGAGCAACTCTGAGAACAATAGTGAATGAACCTAGTCAATAAACTATGTACCTTAAGTCGCACTTTATTGCTGTCTATGATGTTAACGTTCTTCAGGGGAAAAAGATGTTTTCTTCGAAATGACCGACTCCAATATATTAGAAAAGTAAATAGAAATAACGGTAACTATATACAACTCGCTTGATAATCTTCCCTAAATAGATGGAAGTGTTATAGGTCGATAATTTTGTACAAAGTTCTCATCATTTTTTTATGCGCAAAACAGACCTGGTCAATTTTAAGTGGCTTTAGAAATACAGAAATGAAAGACTTACATAGGAAGCAATATCAGATAAACTGGGAGTTAGAACCTGTTGGGTTGGTAATAGAAGGAGATATATTATACTTAGTACGACAGAAGGAATGAGTGACCAAAGTCCCCCATGTTTTATCAAAAAAACAAACTTATGATGACATATTATTATAGGCATGATGCTTCTTTGAACTTAACAGCAAGAAGCTCAGCTCTCTTTTTGTATCTGTTAGAGGTAGAATAGAATAACGTATTTTGATAAATTTTTTGCGTGTAACCTCTAAACACTGAAGATATAGTAAATGCGTGAGATCAGCTCTATTTCACTTTTTCCTTCGTTATCAACTAGTTGTTTGACTAGGGCATTCTCGATACATCCAGAACTATTTCTTCATCGAATTTCTTGACGTTACTGTCGATACGCTGAATTAAATCTTCGCTTTTCTGTATTGGTACATTGAGAAGTCGTAGGTTAAAAGATCGACTATACCTTTCTCGAGTCATTGGTCTAGTTGATCAAATTGTTTTCAAAATTTATCTGAACATAATTCCGATCTTTTAAACATCATGAAAATATAATTATAGTACTAATATTGAAATTAAGAGATAATCCATAATATGTCCAGTATGCTTTTGCTGCGAAACGCAAAGCTAATAGGTTTTATGAATGTTAACTGCGTAGAATTTCATCTTATCGATGTGCACAACAGTTATTTTTATTAAATTCAACTATTACAGTTTGAACATACAGTGCATACATCTTTAAACGACTACAGTATAGGAAAAAGCATTAGAAGGCACTCGGAAATATTTGGCTCGACTTACATTAAAATCTCTGTGTAGCTATTAGAAAAAGTCACTTACTGATCAGAAAATAATCTCCGCATTAACTGACGAACAGTTAAAAGATTTATTTAATTGATTTTGTTTATTCTATCAAAAATGTGAAAATTTTGAATATTAACTAAGAACTCAAAATTTCGAAACATAGAAGTAACATAAATTTTCTACTACAAGTTACACTTTCTGAATTTTCGGTCTACTGTCAACAACTACAACTCATATGCTCAAATCAAATTGTTAATTATTCTCTAATACACTTGAATTATGTACTTCGTCTAATGTCAATGATCTTCTTTTAATCAGTAAATGATCAGATTTTATCGAATTGTATTTCAACTATATAGGAGAAAAGTATTTTCATTCTTGCTTCTGGAGTCTACAAGAGAGATCCAAGTTTCAACAGTGAGGCTTACCGCTCCATAATTAGTTGTATAAAAATATCACCTTCACTTTTTTGTTATTTGTCCGTGCGATCGTCCATTATATGTCATCTCCAATGTTCAACTCTTTTTCACTATTATAATATTAGAAATGTCTTACCAAAAATATTTTTCACGAAAATTCTTTTATATCTTTCACCACATATTATGTTCTACACTCTTTCGTTTGAATATTTTTATCCAAATATTTTTACTTTTTTATTGATTCTCTATCAACAATAGAAGATAAATATATTAAAATTTCGTAGCTTTTATAAGAAAGTCCTGCTTTGTTCGAAAATAATTTGTTTTAATAAAAATCTAATTTAATTTTCATTTGTTATTTCTGATAATGAGCATGTTATGAGTGAACAAAAGCTCGTATACTTTTCTTTATTAGCGTAGCAAATGTGTAAATATGTTTGAGATTTGAAATATTTTTATCAAATATTATTGTAGACTCCTCCGAATCTTTCTATGAAAGTTTATTTCATCTGCAACTAATAATATCTCATCAATAACGTTTTTCATCTTTATTTTCATATTTTTCTAATTGAACATATGTTTTATTTTCATGCACATGCACATATATACCTTCACACAATTTAAAACAGAAAGTGAGCATCAAATAAAAAAGACATTAGTCATAAAAAAGAAAATTAGCGAAGAAAATGTATAAACACGATAAAAAAGAACTAGTAAATATTAATTTACAAAATACTGTATCAAAACAACAACACAAAATAATTGTTTAAACTTGGCTCATTGGAGAAAAAAAATCTGGAAGAAAAACTTCTTATTTCGATTATTCTAAATAAAACATGAGAAGAAATAAATGGGTAAATGAACAGTTAGTACAACTTAAAGTGAAAGAAAAGCGTTTAGAGAACTGCTCAGACATGTCAGAAAATGACGACAACAAAATGTTGGCTAACAGAAGACGATTCTTCAATAAAAAAAGGTTTTGGTGCAGTAAAATGCAATTACAGGAAAACAGTTTTGAATTTAAAAATTGTATTATACTAAAGGAAACAAAAACAAGAAATTATTAATGTATTTTGAAAAAAAGAGAAGAACAACAGCTCAACATAAACAAATGGATGCACAAATAAAGTTTTACTCGGATTTTTTTTTTTCATTTGAAAAAGGCTGAATTCATCTCATCATCGTTTTTTCGTTGAAATCTCTGTTATTTGTTGTTCATGATTATTTAATTGTTGACTTGAATTACTTCTATTTCCTATTTTGATTAGAAATGGTGCCTGTTGCTGCTGTTGTTGATATTGTTGAACAGCTGTCCGCGGTGTTTGTAACTGTGTGGGTAAATCATCATTTACAGATGATCCACGACGATGTGATACAGTAGCAACATTTTGACTAATCTGTTGTCGAGTTGAAGTATTTATTGAGTCTTGAATTGTATTTGTTGAAGTTGCCATACTTTTTCTTAGTTCTCTTGTTTTATGTTTATAAAAGTAAAGATCTTTTTCTAAGTCTTTAATTTGTGCTGTCGTGTCAGTTAATTGTTTCAACAATAAATGTTTTTCTTCTTCATTTGTTTGTTGAATACATGTTAATTTTCGATCATATTCAATTGTTTCTTGATTTATACGAGATTTTAATTCAAAAATAACTTGATTTTGTTCGTCTAATTGTGACTGAAATAAACGAAATATGATAAGTTAAACATCAGTGAAAAAAAAAAGGAAAGACTCACTTTCACATCAACAAATTCTCGTTGATTCTTCTGATCGTTGTCTTTTAAATCGATAACTTTTTCAAGTAATTTTCGACATAATTCTTTAGATTCGCTTTCACTTAGTTGACTTATTTTGAATAATGGAGATTCTGGACCCTATAATGACAGTAAAAAAGATCAAAATTTTATTTCCAACAACAGATAGTTTCAAGCAATAGAGTACGAGTAGTGCTATGTTGAGAAAAAAATGGCAGGTTTGAGATGTAATTATTATTCGAGAATGCTATTACAAAAAATTTTATCCAAGAAAAACTTACAACGAAAAACATTTGAAAATCAAGAGGGCATAGTGGATATTTTTCTACTAGCAGATGGACGTCAGATTTTTTTGCTAATAAACCACTTTTTCATGAATAATTATTATTGCTTTTAGTCATCTCTGATGATTTATTAAAGAAAAAATAGACATTTTTAGAAGACATTAGTTTTTTCGAAAACTCAATCTTGCAGGTTCATGAGAAAACGTTTCAGAGATATTTTTTCAATCCAAAACTTTGTGTTATACATGGTTTGATACAACTCGTCACGCTGATTTCAAATATGTCATTTTTATCGAGAAGAAACACTTTTTTCACAGAAAAAAATAGCTTTTACCTGGAAAACCGGGGAGTTTTCAAAAACTCCATAGTGAAGTCCAAGAACAAAACCACATTTTACCGCATTAACCAAAGATGCAGTGTATATAAACGGACATTTTGGTAGGTTCTTGAATCGGATTGAAGTTTAGAACACATCTACGGAAGCTTTGTGAGCTTTGAAAATAATTTTTTTTCTCCCGGACTGTAAGTTCAAAACTGAGAAATTTTCCACCAATCCCCAACACACACACATCAGTTGGTATGAGCTTAAAAAACAGCAGATTCTAATGATGCTTCATTTGAAGTTTATAAAAATGAATCTTGTCTAGCATATAGTTGAAAACTTAGTGACTTAAAAAGTTATTTTAAACCACCACTATTCCTGTTTGACACTAATCGACTATAAATGGTAGTTAGATGCTACTTAAAAAAATAATTGTTTATTTCTAATATATTGAAAATTTAACGTCCTATTTACCTGACTTGCTCTCATTGACTGTTGAACTTCTTTTTCCTTTCGATTAATAATATTATTTTGATAATCGACTGCTAAATCAACAGCTTCAATTGCTTCATTAATTTCAATTAATCGTCGTTCTTCACTTGGTGTCAATACATTATTTTGTTCTAATCGTTCATTAAATAAACGTTTTTGTTTTAATAATTGTTCTTTCATTAATAAATGATTTGATTGTTTTTCTTTATCTCGTAAATTTGCTGATTGACGAATTTGTTTATCAACATTTTCTAATTTTTCATTCACAGATTTCAAACTCTAAAAAAGGATTAATGATTTGTAGTGAATATGACAATTTTTACTAATATTTTTATGACTAACCTTATTAAGTACTTGACTAGTTCGAACTTTTTTTGTTTCTAATTCTGTTCGTTCACTTAATAATGTTTCTTTTTTTCTAATTAAATCTTCACGTTTTTCTAATTCCTCTTTTAACGTATTTAATTCTTTTCTTTCATAGACAAGTTTTTCCATTTCATGGTCAAAATTTGATGTTGTCGTTTGTTGTTGATCACCAATGCCAATTCCAGTGCCTTGTGCAGTTCTCAATTTTCGTTGTGCCGCTACTAAACCTTCAGTTTTTAATTTTAAAATTTTTTGTTGTTGTTCATTTTGTATGGTTAGCTCTTGTATACGTTGTTGTTCACGTATAAGTTCTTGTTCAATTTTGTTTTTCAAATCAGTTTCTTCTTTGACACGTTTTTGTGCCGTTTCATGTTGTTGTTTCATGCGAAATAGAGCAGCTTGTAAATCAGCAATTCTAAACATAGAAGAAAAATATCATAAAAAAACTGGTAGAATCATAAATCAGAATAACAACATTACCGCTTTTCACTATTTCCATTCAATTTTGACATTAATTCTCGATATTGTTTTTCTTTCTGTTGTAATGATTCTAAACGAGCTTTAGCCATATCACATTTTTTCCGATATTCACTACAAAAAAAAAATTTCATAGTTTTACTCTTTGAAATCGTTTTTTGATATATAATACTTTTCTAATTTTGATTTTTCTGTTGTGCCTTTTGCGGCTATTTGTTGTACGGTTTTTTGTAAATCGTTATATTCTTGTTTGGCTCGTTCAACTTCCTATTGTCATATAAAAAAAGTAGAATAGAATACTGTGTCAGTCTTTGTCAAACTTCATAAATAAAGAGCAATAGTTTCATAATTCAAATTGTTGTTATTAAATATTTTTCGTTCAAAAAATGTAAAACATACTTTTTCTAACAATTTGATATGTTGTTCATACTGTTCATTTGTATCTTTGACATCTTTATTGGAGGCGAATACACTTTTGATTAATTGTTCTTTCAATCTAAATTATGAATAAGAAATGTATTTATCGCAAAATTCTAACTTATCATATAACTTACTGAATGTTAATACTTAAATCTTGAATTTTACTTTCAGCTTCTTTTACTTTTCTGTTCGATTCTTCGATTAGCTTTTGTTTGGTTATTGATGCTTGTGTAAGCGATTGTAGAGGATCATCTTTGTTAGAAAAAAATTGTAATTGAAAATTATTTCTTATTTAATAAAAACTAAAGTTACCTTGAAAAGCGTGATCGAGAATTGATGGTGTATTACGACTTTTTCTTACACGATAGGTGCCACGTCGTATAAATTTTCTAAAAAATTGTTTATCTTCTTATAACAGTTAGTTAGATGGTCTACTAAAGGTTTTTTTTAATAACATACCCATCCTTTTGTTGTTTATCATCTCTCAAATCTAATTCTTCCACTTCTTCCTGTGAATGTGCCAGGGCAATCGAGCGTCCATGAAATCTTTCTACAACATATTCCATATCAAATGTAGCTGGACTCGAATGAATTGTTCGTGGCTGAATCGATGTGTCCTAAAATTAGAACAAAGACGTTTATTCGGCTAGAAGGAATTCAAAACAGTCGTCTTTTTGCATTCTAAGCAAAAATAAAAATTGACAAAATCATATGATTGGTGAGGTGTAGATTTCAATACTATCATCACATATACACACACAAAAAGAATAATAAATGTGCGCTTTAGTAATCTTTTCTACAGTATTTAATTTTACTTGCAATCTCCGCTTGAGAATCGACTGAAATAAACGAATGACTTTTTAGCGCCGAATTTTTTATATTCAATATGTGATCGAATGTGTTAAAAACAACGTGTATATGTATGTGCGTGTGTATACAAAATTACAACAGATTGTTACGTGAACTTACTTTTTTATAGGCACCACCAAAGTGTGGCGCTGATTTTGTTCGATCAAAGAATGTAGCATTACTACCATCAATATTTAATACATCAGTTGTTCGTCGAGTTTGTTGCTAAAATTATAAATTGCACGATATAACATTTATATTTTGATCTTCTCTTGCAATAACATACGTCTTTTGATCCGTTTGTTAATTTTACTTCTAATTGTGATACAATTTCTTGCTGTTGTTTTCGATGATGATTAGATTCGTCGAGTGCACTTCTCATACGGTTAAGTTCATCTTCCTATAAAAAAATTAAACAAATTATGCCAATCTATCGAATAAAATCAAAAATATTTACTCTCAATTTCAATTGTTCTTGTAATCTATTTAATATTCCTTCACGTTTTACACGCACTTGTGATTCGGAACGTAATTCATCTTGTGCCTACCATAATATACAATGAGGCAAGCTATTATTTTCAAAGAAAATAAGTTGTACTACTTACTGCTTGTAGTGCTTCTTCTAACGCTCCAATACGATGTGTCAACGGATCATCATTAAAATCCTGTTGTAAATCAGAATTATCCTTCAATCAAAAAAAAAAAAAATGAAACATAACAAGGTACCGAAATTTATTATTGACATATACATTTGATAATGCATTCAGCCAATTTTGTATCAAACGTTTCTGGTCATCATTCAAATAATTGCATTCATATAATTGTTGAAAACAAACATAGGCTGTTTGAATCAAACGTCGTAAATTGTCAGATTCAGGTCCAGGAGTACTAAAGAAAAACATATAAAACTAATCTAATTTTCTATAACAAAAGAGAGAGAAACATACGATAAGTTTTGTTTTGAATATCGACCGGTCGAACTACTACCATTTTCTTCACCATGATTATCAACCATCATCATTGTTCGTTGTCTTTCTAGCTCTTGTTTTAAAAACTAAAGAAATATGAGCGTAATTTAACAAAATATACGTAACTTTTCATTTTATATATACCTGAATTTCACTTTGCATCTCGATAAACCTTTGAGCGTTCGGATCAACATTTTTAATCGGTTTATTCCGAATATGACGTGCCTTAAAGAGATAAAATTGGAGACTTTAAGTCAGAGTTCTATCATTTATTACTTCTTACTCGATCTGCATATCTTAGTGCATTTAATGATTCATCAAGATCGACGGCACATGGACTGACGCCTAAAACGAGCGAATAGCGTTTTAAAATTTGTTTTATTCTATTAAATTTGAAAAATACTTACAGCAAATCATTAAAGTTTTTGCATTGCCGCCAAGTGAATCTTTCAATAATCTCGTAATTTTTGCATCACGATATGGTATATGTCCGCTACGACGACGTGGGTCGGATAATGCGTAAACAACATTTCCAAGAGCCAATAAACCGGAATTGATGCGGATCGATTCTAAAGAAATACGTCGTCAATAACAAACATCAAAGATATTGTAAAAGATGATGGATGTATCGATTAACGGACATTTGAGCGAATTGGACAGTTTAGTAAAATGAACGTGATATTATTCTGCATGTCCCGAAATAATTCAGTCTGGTCTAGCTGTACACTTAACTTGCACTCTGCGGTCAACTTTCTCGTTCTTTCGCACGTTTGACTTCACCAGAAGTCCAGTAAAGATCAACCCCACAATTCAAGACTAGTGCTTGTAATGTTATTTTTTCATTCACTCTTACCACATACTTCTCACGCCTACAACGTCTGAGACTCTGAAGTGTAGAGCGTTAAAACGTTGGTTGACAGTGGCTGTAATTCCGTCTCAGAAAATTCTCAAATCAAAGAGTTATATCGCATTTGACACTCTTTTATCATAAGGAACACACTTCAGTGAAATATTGGTTCAGACGCACCAAAACGAAGACGACTTACCTTGAAATCTTTCTCCGGTGTTTTGAGTTCTTGCTACGCGCTCAGATCCAGCCAAATCAACAAAATGTAATTTCGCCGACAAATAATTTTCTTAAATAGAATTGAATTAGTACACAGTATATTTAATATGCAACTCTAAAAATATGCATTACCATCAAAATTAGACTGCGGTTGTTTCACTAAACCGTCATACGAAGCTTGAACAGACATATTTTCATCACGACGTCTTTGTTCTAAAATTAGAAATTTTATATAAATTATGTCAATTGAAGAATCTAAGTTGGATGTCTATACCTATATAAAGTGTGAATATTGCATGTGATCGCGACGACTCGTCATTCATTTGAGTTGCTCCGGTATGTCTTACAATTGAACCTTTTTTTAGTAAATTCACAACATCATCAATTGACTGACACGAATGTTCACTAGCACCGATAACAACCGTATTTCCCGCAGCATCATCTCTCACATCCAATACTTTATCGGTTACATCTAACAAATCAATAATATCGTCTTTGTATACTTCCAGATATGATGCACTTATACTGACTCGACACTCATTCCTACGCTAAAATAAACAATATTTTTTTACTATAGATACATCTGGATGTTTCAATTGAAATACCTCTACAGTATCAAATATTGTTTTGACAGCTCGTGGGACGAGTCCAAAATTTTGCTCAGGTATTGATCCAATATTGCCCCCGGTCATTGTGTACGTTTTTCCCGAGCCCTAGAACAAGTATACGATGTTTAAAAATTTCAATTAGAAAACATGAGCATTCAACCTACTGTTTGACCATAAGCAAATACAGTCACATTATAACCATCAAAAACATTTGATAGGAGTGGTTCAACACACGTCTGGTAGAGTTCATCCTTTGAAGTAAGAAAAAAAACATTATGTTACTCTAAATAGAAAAATTGATCTTGCCAAACTTACTTGGTGTGTTTTAGGACCCAAAACAAAATCGTACGTGAACGTATGACTATTTCCAAGAACAATTTGATTTACTTGTGGATGAACATAAACACAACTTTGATAATGATGTAATTTTTCTCGCTGAAGTAATGGACGAACCTAAAGCGAGGACCAGTTTTTAGAAAAATTTGCAGAATAAGTGTATGAACACAATGACTAGTTGGAAAAAAATTATTACATGCATTCCAACTGTTCATGTATTACTTACCCGAACTGCCACTCTCACAGGAAATTCCTGCGTAGAGTTTGAGTCGAGCATTTTCATTGTTCCAATAAAAAAAATAGTACAAAATGAAAAATACTTTAAAATTATATGTAGTACAATCTAGAATTGGAAAGTAGATTTTTAACATTAATAACGAATTATCTCATGTTTTGGTAAGAGCTTACATCAACATATACCAAATGAAAAGACTCTAATCAGGCGATGTAAATTAATACATACTGATCTGAATAATTAGTTGAACGCCTTAGAAAGCAGTTAAACCAACATAACCTGATTTTTAGAATGATATCATTTTCAAACTGAATTTCCTTGTGAGCATATTTATCTGGCTTGTAACAGAAAATGCTCGCCGAGACCATCTTCGTTATTAATAAGAACCACTAGTTTCAAAAAGGATGATGCTATGCATTGACTTTCCATCTTCGAATAAAAAGGACTCATTTTTTAGTATTTAATTTAAAAAAAAGTATTTAATTTCGTATTGTTAAAAAGAAACAAACGAGAATAATAAAAAGTACAGCATTTTTTCAAACTATGTCTATTGTCCCTTTTCACTATTTTCATATTTCTGTAATCGTTCTTTTAACATTTCATTTTCACGCGTTGTCTCATCCAATTTTTCTTTTAATACCATAACTTCATTTTTTAAACTTTCTGTTTCGGCAGAATCTGGACCAGCAGCACCCATAAAACGTCGAACAAATTCTGCTGCATTATTCGGTTTTTCAGCTTCTTCGTACAAAGCAACTAAAGCACGGGTGATGGCATCTATCACACCACCTTTTTCAAGATAACGTCGGAATTCTTCTCGTTTACTTTCATTAGGACGATAAGTTGAGGTCATTTCTTGTTTTTCAAATGATTAAGGATTCAGCCAAAACAAGACGTTTTCAGAAAAAATTGACGTTCAGAATTATAGTTTCCGCCATGGTTTTATTTTTTATGTTGCCAAGCGTACACCCCACATGGAAAATAACAAACTTTTGATGTACTTATGCAACTTAAATGTACCATAAAAAAAAGTTGTTCTCTGCGAAAAAGAAATTATACATGCATTTAGACGAAATGAAGCGGCTCGTAAGTTAAGCAAAGAGATAAATATTGTTCCAATTATCGAGTTATGAAGTTTCTATTCTCCAAAGATGGAAGGCGTCTGTAGTTTACCCTATCCAGTATATTCATTTGAATAATGGAGGGGACGAAGCGCAGAAGTCATTAAAACGTAACAAGTTTCAAACCTTATTCGTAGTTTTAATGTCTATTTTGAAGTTTGCATTTGAAGTTTTTCGTTCTGTCCAATTTTTTTAAATTGAGTTGGTCTCAAATGAATAAGAGGCGTTTTTAATGAGAATCTTGGTTAGAATATTTAAGTGAAGTTTTTCTACCTTGTTTTGACATGTAGTGTGGACAATTTAGAATCAATCTAAATTTTTTGTAATAACCCTTTAGGTTTAAGACAGCAGCAAAAATAACAATTTCAGAATAATTCCCAAAAACATTATGGTTAGTTTATACGTATTTTATTATATTTGTGACTGTATTTGAGATTACTGCGTAGTTTGCGTCAATTACAAACATCAAATTAGGAATATTTTATTTATTTGTTTGATTCTGAACAATTAACTCTTTGAAGGACAAAAAGGCGAATAAGGGCTTCTCATCCGCACCATGAGACAATCAACAGTTTTGATTCTTGCACCCATGAATTTGACAAATAATTCATTTTTATTATTCGCTTCTTTTTTCCGTGAAAAGGGAAGGAAATAAAAGTGTAACGTGAAATGGACTTTTTTTAACTACATGTGGGAGAAATTGAGTGCAAGTTCATGTTTCAAAGTGTTTTTTTATCCCCTGACCCTCTGATCGTTAGGAACGCTGATCACAAGAACGCATATAGTTATTTTTGTAGAAAAAGCTTATTCAGAACTAATATCTACTTTTGATCGTTATAAATGGATTCGCATTTTCGAGATGCACGCTACATCGTAAAGAAAATATTGCTCTTTATCACAGACATAGATGAAGAGAGTTTTTATCAGTATTTCTGCTTCTAGAAAGAAAGCCTTTTCCTTAGAGGACAAAAGTATAAATGCTGGAAAATGTGTTGAATGGTACCACTAGAAAAAACTATTTGCTTTCATTGTGTATATGTATTACTGGTTTTATTCTCTTCTGAGATGATGATACTAATGTTTAAGGTACAAGAAAGAAGATACTTTCAACTTTGTTATTGATATCCAAGGACCTAGTTATAAACAATAATAGTGTTCTCTGGTTTCTTATAGTAAAAAAACTGTTTGGTAAATTTTACTTTAATTTGTAGATAAAATCTTTGTAAAAAGAATTGCTTTATTACCATCATGCGTCCAATTAAAGCACAAGAATCATTGAAAGTTCCAGAAGATGGTAAATCTTGTTCTGCCTTTGAACTTTGATATTTAATATATTTCATTTTTCGTTCTAGTTAAAGTATCAGTACGCGGCCGTGTTGTTCAAGTATCGGGAAAACGTGGAAAATTAGTTCGAAGTTTTAGACATGCCCGTGTTGATATACATAAACCGTCAAAAAATCAAGTTGTTGTCGAAAAATGGTTTGGTACAAATAAAGAAAATGCTGTTGTTCGAACAATATGTTCACATATCAATAACATGATTAAAGGAGTGACAATAGTAAGTTAAAATTATGTATCTATGAAAGTTCTCAATCATTTTCTTTTCAACTGCTTTAAGTCAAAAGCAAGAACTATTGTTTACTGCTGAAAAGTAGACCCCGCTTTTTCTATTGGTTGAAGAATGATTTATGATATAATAGAAGGCCTGTATTCAGAAAGACGGCATGCTTCATTTCAGTACTTCTGATAAGTCTTTTGAAATATGAAACGGCATCTTAGCGGACATATATCATATCTTGTATCTGAAAATGGTACTATTTCGACGTAGCAGCAGCATTGTTGGAAAACTAACAGAGATACCTTTTCACCTTTAATTTAAGTGTTATAGTTACAGTAATCTCAATCGTTAACAATAGCAATAACGAATGAACAGTTAGACTTAACATAACTCAGTGGAATTTGAAGTGTGGAGATGTGATACAAGAAAAGAATTTCTGTTTCATCTAACTCCACAATAAAAATTCAGACTGGTGAAGATGAATTTCTTTTCTAGATGGCTATCTCTTTCCGAAATCTTGGCGATGAAAGTGCTTAGTATGAGTGTTCTATCATCTGCGTATTGTCAAAACTTTGATGTTTTCTATTTTAGGGATTTTGTTATAAAATGCGTTCGGTTTACGCCCATTTTCCGATCAATACTGTTGTTGCCGACAATGGACAATCCGTTGAAATTAGAAACTTTTTAGGCGAAAAGTTTGTTCGTCGTGTTCAAATGAGACCAGGTGTAAAAGTATCAACAAGTACAAAACAAAAAGATGAATTGATACTTGAAGGAAATGATATTGAACTTGTATCAAGATCAGGTAACTTTGAGTAAATTCTTATTTCTAATAATTACTGTGATTTTCTACTTTTTTCTCTTTCTATTATAGCTGCACTTATTCAACAATCAACAACAGTTAAAGATAAAGATATTCGAAAATTTTTAGATGGTATTTATGTATCAGAGAAATTGTCATGCGATGAAATGTAAAAACATACAGTCAACAAGATTTTATTAGGGAGGTGAATATTGTTTCTGGAAATGTATACCATCACTATCAACAACAATAGCAAATATTTGTTTTTTCATTTATTTAAATCACGTGTAACGTTCAATATTTGTTTACGTGTTTTGCTGTTGTTATTGCATTTCTAATATTAAAAAAAGTAACAATGAATATCAATACACTGAACAATTACTCTGACACTTTTTAGTTTTGAAACTATTACAGACTTCCGTCCGTTACTTACTATAGATAAGACTAGCAAATAACGTAGACAGATCTGCGTATAGAGTCCAGGTTAAAGCTATTGCTATAAACAACGATGATTAGTTGTTTAGATGGATGTTTGCACTCGTTTTGTTTATCAGTGTGTGATATCATGATTGTGTTTCTCTTATTGGAAGAGCAAATACTGTAATATGCGTAGTGCCCTACGTTCGTTTTTTTCATGTCGATATATTAGCACGATAACTTGAATGGTTATCCCAACCTGGTAAAGCAACGGAAATAAAAAGAATTCCCTTTTAAACTAAATAATGTGAAATTTTATTTGTTTTCAGATCGTTTCTTAACCCTTTCTTGCCCTATGGCCCCTATAGGGACCATTTTATAAAAATTTAGTTCACTTGAACTAGTGAATGTCTCGCAATACTAAACGTTCTTTATCTCATAGAGCACAGTCTATGACAAACGTCTCAACCTGTGCCCTACCCTACTCTACACTGTCCTATTAGAGTAGGGTAGGGTCATCCTGCACACCTCTATAAATAGTGCTTCAGATCCGTCAGGTTTAGCTAAAGCAAGAAAGGGTTAAGGTGATTTATGTGGTTCTTTCTGATCGATTTTTCCTTTGTGTGAGAAAAGAACAAAGTATTTTTGTTGATTTTAACAAACAAAAAGTGATTTTCTTATTGAAATTCGTCTAAAATAACTAGCTAATTCTTTTGAATTACTTATCTTTTCTCTTATGGAGAGAATACTGCAATGAAAAGATCAATCTTCTATTTTTCTCTAGATTTTTTATTCTGATTTATTTTGAGAATTTTCATATAGGATATTGATCGATTTGTTTTCATTTTTTCAACAGTTTATCACAGTGCTTAATCTATGCAATACGAAGTTTTTCTTTCTTATGTAGATAGTGTGTGCAAGATTGCCAATTATAGAAAAGCAAGAAACACTTTAATTATAGCTACTTGGATGCAGAACAAGAGAAAATCGAAAAGCTTCACATCGAATTTGGTTGCATATTCACTTGAATTTAGAAACAAATAAACAAATAATCTGTAGATTAATATCGACTTTTTGAGAGGCGACGGATGCTGAAAATTAGCGAGCAAAATCAGGTCAATACTTCGACCTTCAGAGCAGGGTAAAGATCAGATAAGTTTTTTGGCAAACATTTCACCATGTGCATGAAAACGAGTGACGATTTTTAATGTTTTGTTTTCCACGAATAACTGTATAATAATTACTAATTTATCCATATGGTTCACAAGTTTGTTGTTTTGAGAGTACCAGTTTTATATTTCAAATATTTTCTGAAGGAGATACAAAGGATTTTAGCAAGCAGGATCTGGCCTACCCTCTTCCACTTGTTACGCCCCTAAGCAAAAGAATATGCTCTTTATCTTTTTGATGCATCTCTTACGTCAGATACATTCTGATTTACTCAACGTGTAAAACATATTGGATTAGTTGTTTCAACAGGAATATTTAAAACTAGAATATAACTGTTTACCAAACAATATCTTGTTTATCACTCGAGTTTTTATCTAATGCTTTCGAACTACCCATGCTATGTTGTTAATACATATTACTTCTAATCGTACTTATTTCTAGAATAAAATCCTGTTCGATTGGTTCGGCACTATCATCGATTTTCTCTATTTCGTCTCTCAAGTCGGATTCTAGAAGATGATCTATTGCAATCATTTTTTTTCACTTGCTAGTGACGGTCAAAATGTGTCGTAGACCGAAACCAGTATTATTGTAAAATTTTACTAAATTAGTATTCACACATATAGGATCATCTGAGATAATTTTGATCAGGTAATAGCAATTGGCTGGAAATTGATTAGAGATAATTAACTCTAATGAATTTTAACATAATTGTTACATCAATCGATAGACACAAGTCAGATCTATTTATCTGTATAAAATCATTTTTCTCAGCTACAAGCAAAAGACTGAGAAAATTTTGAACATTGACAGGAATTATCTCAGATAACTCTACTTTATCACACGACTCTTGTTGGAAATGGCAGTGTTCAGAAGCATAATTTACGTCATTTTTTTCCATTGTTGTCCTTTTTCCAATAAAATTTGTAACAATGTTGGTTTACATTCACACAGACCATCATTGTCTTCTAGGCTTTTGTGTTATATTATACAATTGACCGTAGTCTAGTAATATAGGAGAGAAATCATCTCTACATTTTGTTCGATGAAAATTGATATAATCAAGGTTTGATTTAATTTTATAGATATTGTAAGTTTTAGAACCCAACACGTCGTAACGTTTATACGTGAAATGTTAGTTTCGTCGAATAGACATATGCTACACCGCAGGAAGTTTTTGTTATCTTTTTGTCAGAAGCAGTTTACTTCTTGGTTGTTTCCTTGACCTTTGTAAAATAAGTCACAAGTGAAGCGTGACTTCCGAATCCATTATTTTTTCTCTTACGTCTCTGTCGACTTTTATAACTTTTACAAACCTGCCATTTTATTTCTTTTTTTGTTGTTGTCCTGCTGATATCCGAATAATATGGTCAATATTTTCGATGAGATAAATAACCCATTAGTAAAATGAATCTTTTTTTTGTGTCGCTATTCTTAGCAACAATTTTGCGTCTCGGTACAACAATTATTTTCTGAGAAATAAATAACGAAAATGCTCACACACTTGATACATGATTAATTTTTAGTAGTTGTAGTGTTGTTGTTGTTGTTTAGTACAGTAATCTGTGATGTCTTAATAGAAAAGTTTCACTCGATTTTTGAACGCTTGGTGATGATTTAGAATTACCGTTTGATAATTCGATGATACAAAAATAGCGGCATATAAATTCTGAAAGCGTATAAAAGTCAAAACTACCCAATTATTAGTGCTTTTTTTTGCTTCTAACAAACTAATAATAACTTTTTAAAACAAAGCATTTCGTGAAGTTTTTTTCATATGTTCATTTTTTATTTTAGATGACTACTCTTGTGTTATTAGCATAAAGAATGTGATAGTGAATTATTGTGGGTATTAATCATAATGAACACGTGATATATTTTGTAACTTTAACTGAAAGACGGTAGAAATGAATAAAGATGATGATTTAAGATTAAAAGGAAATGATGAGGGAGAATTGAGAGATATATTTCAAAAACTTGATAAAAACAATGACAATCAAATAGACGTTGATGAATTATTACAATACTTAGAAAAAGTTGGGATATCACCATCAAAAAGATCAGTAATTGCAAGAGTAAGTTATAGACAGGAGCTTTTTTTCATTTTTTTTCTCTATTTATAGAAAATTCTGGAACAAAGTGGCAGTTCACACGCAAAAACTTTAACGTTCCAACAATTTGTTGATTATATATTCAGTCAAGAAGATAAACTCAGACTTGTGTTTAAAGGATTAGATACAAGTCACCATGGTAAGTATTCTTTTCTTCTTCGTAGTATTTATAGAATAGAATAACTGCGTTCTTTTAGGTAAATTTGATGTAACTGATTTGGTATACTATTTTAAAAAACTTGGCATACCTCTTGATTTGGATGAAGCTAACAAACTGGTGCAAAAGTGCGTTTTTTTCCATTTCTTATTAAGATCCTTTTTTAACAAAGAAAATAAGTTAGTTGTTTGTTTCTGATGTAGAATGGATAGTGATCATTCACTCGAAATAACGTGGAATGAATGGAGGTCGTTCATGTTATTCACACCATCTCTGGAAGCACATGACATGTTACAATACTGGAGACACGCATCGGTAAGTAAAAGTATGTGATATTTACTAACTGATGTTCATTGCCTTTTCTTATCATTTAGCTTTTAGATTTGGGTGACGGGAACTTGATTCCTGATGATGCCAGTATCGGACACGAGAAATGGTGGAGACATCTTGTCGCCGGTGCTTTTGCTGGTGCTATATCCCGGACTGCTACCGCTCCATTCGATCGTTTAAAAATTATCATGCAGGTAACTTATGTCCTACAATTTGAAAACAATTGTTTTGTTTCAGTTTTTTCGATTCTTCAAGTTTTTAATACGATAATAAAAATAAAAAAACCACTAAATAGACTAGATATTTGAATTTCATCATACAAACGAGCAGAATATACCTAGAACATATGAAAAATGAGTTTTCTTCGCTTATCTTCATGCATTATGATTACTTCGAAACTGATGAAAAAGTCATTAGCTTTTAGTATCTTGGCTCACGCTCAAAAATATCAATATTAGGTGGATATCGATATTTGATTAAAGAAGGCGGTGTATTGAGTTTATGGCGCGGCAATGGTATGAATGTTACTAAAATTGTACCGGAAACTGCATTGAGATTTACCTGTTATGACGAAGTAAGTAGAAGAATAAATAGATTTAGCAGAATATCAGGACATTTTTAATTTTAGATAAAAAAGCTATTGAAAAAAATACAAAAAAAAGATATAAATATTGAAACAACGATTGCTGAACGATTTTTAGCCGGAAGTATAGCCGGCTTTTTATCTCAAACTGCCATTTATCCACTTGACGCAAGTTTTTTTCTTGTTAATTAACATATATATTTTATTAATTGTGATTTTCAGGTACTTAAAGTTCGTTTTTGTTTACAACGAACGGGAGAATATGCAAATTGGTTTGATGCTATTAAACGGATTTATCATATGGAAGGACTACGTGCTTTTTGGAGAGGATATTTGTTAAATCAAATTGGAATTATACCATATGCTGGCTTTGATTTGGCATGCTATGAAGTGAGACTTCTGAAAATATGTCTCTGTTCACATGATGTTTTTTTTGGCTTATTTTTACTAGACTTTAAAAAGTTTATGGATACAAGCACATGATAATAGAGAACCACCAACGGTGATCGTTCTGTCGTGTGGTGCAACCAGTTCATTCACCGGACAATTAGTTACGTATCCGATATCGCTGATTCGTACTAGATTACAAGGCCACGGTATGGTTCCATTTACTTTATAAACTTTGTCATGGATTAACATTACGCAAGTAACTTCTTTTAGCTGTTCTATTGAAGCACGAAGCAAGAGAAGTTGTACCCATACGCCAAATGTTCCATGAAGGTAGGATATTTGTCTATCACAAAAACATGGGTGTCATTGTAAAAACTTATCTTTTGCTACTGTCATCGCTTTTCATCCAACAATTCTACACACCAGTTCTCTTCAAGAATAACATATGAATCATTTTAGTGTGGAAGAATGAAGGTATCGTCGGATTCTATCGTGGTTTAGTTCCAAATATGATCAAGGTTGTACCGGCGGTGTCAATTAGTTATCTTGTCTATGAAACAATTATAAAAACAATATCTAGAAGTGAAAATCCAAGTCAAACTGTAGCGTAGTTCAACAGAATGTTTTTCTTAAAAGTGTGAGGTACTTTTTTCTACGTTTGTTATTTTATTTCTCACTCTCACCGTTTTTTTAGGCAATTTTCCATGGTCATGTATGACAGCTAGCTTGAGCATACTTTCTTTGTTTTTTTATAACAATTTTTTTATTGTTAATGTTTTTTTATTTCATCAATGCATCGAAATTCTCTTTGCTCTTTCATGATATATGTTATATGCTCTCTAGTTTCCGACAACACATACTTCTAAACTTGTAAATTTCTCACAAATCTCATATAGTTCAACCGAGTAAAATTCATTATACTTTTATACCCGTATAGTTTTTATGTGAATATCGATTAATTCAAATCCAATCAATAATGAAATCTTGGTCATTATTTATCACATTGTCACTAGTTTAATATCTTTATTTTTATATTATAATAAAAACACGTGAATTTTCTACCATTCATTGTATTTGTTCACTTCCTTCGTTTTTTACACCTAGTAAGCTCGATATGATATAGTTTAACACTTTATTCTTAATAACGTCAAAAAAAATAACATTTTAAATGACAAAATCCATTTTCGTTAAAAGTATACATACATAAGCGGTGGTACAAGCGACTGCTCATACCTTTCAAGCAAAACAGCTAATTTTTCCCAGGAGAACTTTCCAGAATAATTTGTTTCTATGACGACTGCACGTATCTCATACTTTATCGTATACTATATGTATCAAAGAAAAAAATTCCGAATCCGCCGCTGGCAAAGTCAGAAATATTTAGATGAACACTTTTTGTAATAATGTGCATAAAATGTATTTAACCGGCTGAGAATCAGTGTAAAATTCTTTATATGTAACAAGTTTTGATAGACAAAGAGTATACATAGAAGAGAAGTACAATTCTCTTTCCATCACAGAATACATGTGAATTGATAAAAGTACATTTTCTTTTATCGTGAAGTATTTTCGCTGGGATATTGTGCTAAAAATTCGTAATTCAGAACAACATGCACTGTCGACAAAATTCTCGATTTGTGCAAAATCATGCTTGATTTTATCCTTAGTTTTTACTTTTTAAACGGAATTACAAGATTTTCCGCTGACATTAGCAAGGTTTCAATTTTTTGTACTATAATGATTCATCACATTCCCCCGGGAAATGTTTACGTGAGTTAGTGTAAAATTCTTTATATGTAACAAATTTAACAGGAAAAATGACTCCACCGCGGGTCTTTGATGTTGATTATAGCTTGGTTGTTTCTATGGTAATTTTTCAAATATGCTCGATGTCACAAACGTTTTGTCAATAATTCTGTTACTGTTACATTTCGTGTTTGCTTGCGCGTGTGCTAATAGTTATTACTGCTTCATAATTCTTACCCTATGATCCGTGGTCTGACGTTCTACTACTGCTGTATGGAAATTCAAGATCGTTCCAGCATAACCTGCATTCGTAGCTAGATTCAGCCAACCAATCATTTATAAGCCATAGCCGTAGTCGTGATGGTCTCTAAAAACAGGAAAAAAGGAAAGAAAAAGTCATTGGCTAGGACATGTCTCTTTGTCTTGGACGACAATAACTTTTCTTTTTCTCCTTTTTTTAGGAACCACCGTAGCCGTTCATTCTTAATACTTATTATATTGGTTCAATCACGATTAATGTAGAAGTGTGTAGGCTCAAAACATTAAATCATTTTGATAACTAATTATGATATGAAACAGATGTAAGATCGAAGTTATGCTGAGTAATGCATGAGGTCATCCATCGCAGAAAGTATGATAAAGGCACAAGGCCAACCTAGACTGATAAAACATGGATTAATCGATTAATAGAAGTGATCTTCCATTTTTTTCGTATAGTATTTTATTTTGCGGATCACACACACAGACAACCATTTTGTAAGATCCTAGACTAAAGACAAGGGAAAAACTCGACGTCGGAAAAGTGAGTGATGTTGCTCCAATTTTCGAAGATCACAAGTAGATAAATTACTACTATGGGAACGGTAAGTCAAATATTCGCCCATAAACTAGAAGGTTGATTACCTCTCTAAATAAAATTGCATTTTGATCTATGGTTCTATGTTTTCCATACATTCTACCATATAATAAATTTAACAAATGCTAGAGTATACTTTTGGAAACAAGTCACTGAACATATGATTATTATACTATTGTTCAACAGATGATTTTCTACATGAACTAACTTTTGGGATGCAATACATGAAAATTTTGAGCTTCAGATAAAAGTTGTGAAGAAACTTGATCTTGTTTAGACTCTAAAGTTATAGTTAAACATTGAAAAACACTTTGGGTAATTTTCCAGAACCTCACACGATGCTAAGTCTCTCTAATATTTAAAAAAACTTTGATTCCATTCAGTTTACATGTGTAGACTTATCATAAAAGTTATATGACAAGAGTTTAACCATCGAAAAGGAATCAATCGGTTTATTGTGTGTGTAATTAGAACATTATATTGACTTTAAATATTGCTACTTTATTTAGTTTAGATTACATATCGAGCACTGCCTGTTTTAGTACTTCATTTACAACTGGATATTTGAAGAAAAGCATTAAATATAAATCATTTTGGTTCATATAGTATCTAAAATAATCACGTATTGTGGTAAAAAGAGAAAGTGAATTTCAACCTATTTTCTCTCATAGTTAATTTTACATATAATTATTCATCACATTCGCCTGGGAAACATTTACGTGACGTATTTAAACTGATGCCATACTAAAGATATAGAGAGAAAGTAAATTTTAAAAAATCTAGATGAACAAACATTTAATGAAGAAGAATCAGATATATCTGATGAACTTCGACAAATGAAATCTCACCATTGCTTTACATTCATTGTTGAAATAGACTTTAGTCGATGTTTCGTGTACAACTGATCGATATGCACTATACAAAAAATTAGATGTGTTTCCAAGAAAACAGATTAAAGAGCTGATCCTAAAAAGTCTGTTTAATGTCAAATAATTTCAATAAAAAACATTGAAAAAGATTATTTATAAGTTTTTAAATATTATGATTATTTGCGTTACGATATACATTAATATCATCAAAAATTTCAAATCAGTTTCGGCTAGAGTCGTATGGGGTAAGTCCGACCATCTGCACAAAGTTTCTTAAAATGATCTTAAATATTTTAATGAAATTTTACACATATTATGGTAATTAATTTATACAGTATTATTAAATATGCTCATTAATTATAAGCCATTCATAGACAAATTTCTATATATATTATAGGCTGTATTCTATGAGTTGAATAAAAACATGAGACATGAAATTCGATTAAAATAAAGGAAAATAATATCGAAACTAGAGTTAGATGTTTATGAAACAAATATTTTATTCAGAATCAATAATTAACATATCTGTTTTTGTATTAAAAAAGTATAACGGTTGTCTCAACCCTTCTATTGTCTAAAATTGCTCTACACATCATCGATTAGTCCGTATTGGCAATAGGATCTGCTACAGATGCCAACATTTCTCAATTAGCTAATGAAATTCGAACAATTCTTAGACATGAGAGAAACAAATTGATCCGTAACAACAAGGAAAAAAATCAAAATATCGTTATCACGTGTACAAGAAAAGAGAAGAATCATTACCTATAACCGAATTTTCTAAACATTTTTCGACCAATTCATATGCAAGTTTGAAAGTGGAGAATATGATCTAGCACGAAAACCAGAAAGTATCCAGTTATTGTGAAATGAAACAAAAGAAACGTTAAAAAGAATATCATCCTGAAAAGTTATAACTCGACAGAAATGATGAATGTTCATAATTTTGGTACAACTCATCTCTTACCAGGATACACTGAAACAAACGTTCCGGATGCATAATAAAAACTAAAAAGATAGTGCTTAACTACTAAATGGATGAAAAATCGTAGACTTTGTTGAAGACGATGCCTTTTCACTTTTAACAGCACCAGCGTAATATTCAATAAGAATAATACTATACTGATGGGGCTTCATTTAAGTGCAGCTTATTTTAGCGCGTCTTATTTGGGTGTTTTCAATTGTACCCACTCATTCTTGAAAATATTTTGAAACATTTGAACCGTTTGTCATAACTGTTTACATTAATTTTTAGTGGCTAGTAATCTTTTATTTTAATTTCAAAAAGCTTGTGAGCATTGTTTTGACAATGAAATTTCATTTCATGAAGAAGAACTGCTATGCACGTTTAGCAGCAGCAAAACATTCAATTGCTAAAACCTAATCTAACGTTTGAGTTAGATCTGGATTAAGATCATCTGTTGTACCGTTGTTTTGAGTTTTTGATATTTTAAATTTTTTCCACCTGTGAAATTTATTATTTTTTTTTGAAAAAAATTTTAAAATTTTCTGACCTACTGGTGCTGGGACATATATATCCCGACCGACGTAATTTCCCTTCGTCAGTATGCTCGGTCTCTTGTTATTCTTTGTATCAGCAGCGTAAAAAACGTTTATAAAACAAAAGTTCTCAAAAACAAAAAGAACTTCCACCTACAAAGACACTCTGATCAAAATGATAGTAGTAAAAGTACAGTTGTTTTAAATTGGTGCGTTCTTCACATGTATTTGTGTGCAGATGTTCCTAGTAAGGAACAGTTTTTGTTGCCGTCTGATTGAGAACTGCCTGCATTATCACAATGGCTCGATGCAGTTTCAAATGCCAGTTATAACTGTATGCTAAATTCTCTCTAGACCATTTGTGCATTAGAGCACGAGCATTACCCTATACCACTTGTCGATATACCGCACACGAGATTCAATTATATTCAAACATCTAAAAGAAATCTCCTATTTTACTGGCAGAATTTGTAAAATGATCGGTTTCAGAAGGACATGAGTTTTCTGTTCTAATTACATATCGCCTAGCCTAAACTACGAATAGATAGCGCAAAAGTTGCCAGTTTATAATAGTAATTGAAAGTAAAGCTTTTTTTGTGGAAGAATAAAGAAAAAAATGCTCATATGTGGCAAATTTTCGGCAACAATACGTGTTCTGTTTCATTAAGGCGGTCAATAATTTTTTGAATAAGGTCACACATCGATACGAACAACAATACTACTGATGTTTTAGAGCTTTTTCCCTAAAAGTGTCTCCAGATTCGCCAGTTTATGTTGGAAAGTATTACCATGTAATGCTTGTATATGATCAATGATCTTCTCATTATGGATAACATTTATTATCCGCGTTTCTTTACATGTCGTGGTTCTTTCTTACTTAGAAGCCAAACCTGATTAGCGAACAATATCCACAAAGTACAGCAGAAGTATCTAAATCTAATATTAGGAAATTTTTGAAAAGAAGTAACACTTTCATCTCAATCTTCTCGTATAAACAAACGAACAGAGAAACTCTTAGTTATCATGGTTTTAGACTTATACCCAGCGTTTTAATATTTCTCTCTTGATACCATATTATTATACTTATAACAACATGAAAAATCCACAGAATGTTTTTCAACAAACAAACTTAACTTCTAAAAATTTAGTTTCTAATCAATTAACATCAAACCAGATACCACAAAAGACAGGGAGAGATGAGAAAGTAGGAATAATGTTTTATGGAAATGTTGAATCCATCCTAAACTGTACATAATACTCTTTTGAAAATAATCATATACATGACTGCAATATGGATATTGGACGAATTAATGAAGAAACAAACTTTGGTAATAATGGTGCGGAGAATTCACATCCAGAAGTTTTTTCTTTTAGAAAGAACTGTTCACTATCAATTTTCATTTAAATACATACGAACGAGAAAATAGGTACATTTATTTATTGTAGTTGGTATGAAAAACAACTTAGCGACAATCTTTTTTTATAGAATATGCTCTATATTAATATTACAAAGTTTTATCCATTTTTATTTCCCGCCTATCACTTTCTTTTCTAGCTGTCTATGCTCAAAAATGCCCTCGAAAGCTTTATACCATAAAACAGCTATAAAAAAAGTGGATGTACCTCCAAGGAAATGTTTATACAAGAAAAATGTTTGACCTAACTTGTTAACTTTTAGATTCATGATTTCATGATGGGTGCTAATGTTTCAAATTTAGAAACAGTTTATTTAGAGTGAAGAGAAAGTCTTTTTCTAATCCTTTTTAGTCGAAATGATTTTTGACGAACTTTAGAAAGATCATACCAACAGGATTTTTTTTTAAGATTATGTCGGAAAATGTTTCCTTTATAGTTTTTCCCAAAATTTCACTTAGAGTAGTGGTAGAGTTTGCTGATATTCCCATTTTGAAATACTGCCGCATTTTCAAAGTATCTCGAAGTAGAAATCCGTTCAGATAAAAAAAATAGATGAAATAAATAGTTAGTCTTGGAGCTGATAATACCAATGTAAACTACGACTGTAATCATTCTGTATATGTATTGTTAAAAGAAGAGATGCCAAATTTGAAAAAAGGTCTTGCATTATTATTTTATTTCTGTTATATTTGATATCGCTTATTCTATTGATTCGCTGAATAGTTGAAGATATCCGGAAGGAGTACGCCCGTCTTTGGGAAGAGGCCACGAAGGTTTGCTCACGGTATATTCTGCTGATACTATTTGCTGCCCATATTTTGCTGTTGTTAATTTCTCATCTGCCGTGATCATTGATCAGTCGCCGCTACTGTCCTTGTTGTGGCAAATTGTTATTCACATATACTACACAATGGTGTTAAGAATGTAAATGATGTATCAACGATCGATGTTGAACATATACTATTCAAAATTTATAACTGTTTCAATTGCTCAGCTAAACGTGTTCAAGCGCTAGATGATTGTTTCAATTTTGTGCAGCAGGAAAAGAAGGTGAGCAAACTTCTCGTATCTTTCTGACTTTTCATTCTTTCTGCCTCCTTGTGTGATACATAAATAAGAAAACGTGATCGCCGCCTCTTAAAATATAAAATTTTTCTCTCCGTGTACGGCAAATTTATATCTCGCGATCTAAGCGTTTTTCAAATCAATGACCGACAGACTCTTTACTAAAAGCAGTAAAATTAAATGATGATCAATTAGATCAAATATTTGCATCATCATCATCGGCATTACTGAAATCTGTTTATCCTTGTCTTACTTCAATTAATATAATGAATGATTTATACCCTATTCAAAAATATATTGATTATTTGCAAATATTTCAATCAATTATTACTATATTGAAAATAAATTATTTTGACAATGCGGAATGTCATGATGACAAAATATCATCTGTATCTATTTTGCGTAGTCATGTGGCAAACTATTTTGCTTTTGTCAGCTGTTTTTATCAGAAATACTGGACATCAAGAAAATTCATTCTTTCTCTCTCTATATGCGTTGTTCTCAAACGTAATCCAGGCTGTTTCATCGAAATATATAATTTCTGTCTTCTTGTGTGATACATAAATAAGAAAACGTGATCGCCGCCTCTACCATAGATCTACATTTTATATAAATGATAAACTGTTGGTATTTATTTTATTTTTATTTTAAGTGAAATATGCAGAAAAAATCAGTTGCAGAAGCAGGTAAGTTATCGTATACAGTGAAGTGGGTGATTGTATAACACTTTCTATCACTGCGTAGTATTTTATCACTTCAATAAATGTGGAAGGTTTTTTTATGCTGTTTCAAAGACGTATAAATGAGTTTCCATTCTATCCTTTGTATGAGTATAGCTAAAAACTACTCAACTAAACTATCTCGAAGAGGTTTACAGATTCGACCTAATGGAGTTTCCTAAAATACTATAGACTCTGCGGAGAAAATGCACTACTCTATTTGTTTTTCTCTGTCAACGTACTGCAAATCCAGGAGTAGAATACAATTTTTTTTTATGATTCGGTACATCTTCTCGATCTTCATAGGAAAATGTGAATTTTAATTTCTTGAGATAATGGAATAATTTCAATGAACATGTAACCAAGGTCTTCAGAGAGTTCTCAAAACGTCTTCAGAAACTCTTTACTTGAAAATAGACACTTCTGAGGGTGACAATTATCTTAAATTTAGTTTTCTGTAATCAAATTTGTATGGAAAGTCAGAAGAAAATAGTTGAGGAAGGTAAAATGCACAAAAATATAGATAAAAATTGAATTTTTTTTTTTAAAAATTCCATTTCATTCTTCAGAATATTGGGTCTTTTTATATATTCGCAATTTTTTGTATAAAAATACTTTAAAAGAAATTAAAATTAACATTTTCCTATGGAGATCGATCAGATCTATCGAACGAACTATCAAAGAAAACGAGAAGAAAATTGTATTTCATTTCTAGATTTGCAACGCTCTATCTTTTCAGAGAAAAATACGAGTTTTTTTGACGATATTCATATGAAGGATAGAACGGTTACTCACGTATACGTCTTTAAAACAGCGTACAAAAATCTTCGACATTTATTGAAGTGATAAAATACTATATAGTAATAGAAAATGTTACACAATCGCCCACTTCACTTTAAAGAAAATTCACTGACTACAACTTCTCGTCTTTCTAGGGAAAGTGTTTGTGCAATATGGGGGGCATTCAACGCCTAAACGTTTGCGGGATAAATATGTAGCCATTATTGACTGTGGAAACTGGTGTGCTTATCTTTTGTACTTTGATCTTAGTTAACCATTGAGCCTCTCTTTTTTTCAGTGAAATTATGAAGATGATGGTATGTAACATGGAACAAGCTGTTCTATGTATGACACAATTGAAAATATATGTTGACGAAGAAATGACAAATGACATACTTGAGGAGAGCTCATGGAATAGTTGAGCAGAAGTTAAAGGATTTGTCGTTCCTTCGATCCTTTCTCTCCCTTCTAATGTTTCTTTTTCTTCTCTAGGTTGCATGTTTAGATGTCGCGGAGTCGGCTAAAGATGCTGATATTCTACTAATTAATCTTCCACATCAATTAGTTACAGACACATGTTCAAAAATACAGGACGGTATAAAAAAAATGCATTTGCAGTGTCATTTTCTCAAGTAAGTTATCACTTTGTTATCTTGTTTTTCTTACTGCTGCGATCTTTTACAAGGGTTTCTACGTAAATGAAGATAAAATTGAGACAATATCAAGTGTGATTGCGCGTCAGTTAGGTATACCATGTTATATGTTGGTGAGTGCTGATATTGCTGATAAAGCTGCTACTGGTACATTTTGTGATGCCACTATTGGCTCAGACAATTATAAAGATGGACAAATGATTCAAGAGCTTTTTCAAACCGATAAACTTAAAGTCGATATTAAATTACATAGACAAGGTGTTGAAATTTCGGCTTCTCTAGAAGTAAGTCTTGCCCGATCAAATTCTATACTTGTCATATGTATTTTCTTTTTAGGATATTGTTGCTCTCGCGGCTGGTATTTATGATGGTCTTAGTGATAAAACAAAAGCAATTGTTATACGAATAGGACTGAACGAAATGATTCAATTTTGCAAATACTTTTTCAGTAACCTAGTATACATTTTCTAGATCGATGTCATTTAATCTTGTTTCCTTTTAGATGGCCATCTAGAAGTAATTGAATCTTACTGTATTGGAGTTCTATATACGTCTTGTTACGCTGGACGTAACAAAGAAGTTGGTGAAGCATTGGTTAAAACAGGAAAATGTATAAAAACATTAGAAGAAGAAATGTTCAACGGTCAAGCTAATGTCTGTATGATATTTACTCTACTTCTGTTTTCTTCTGTAGGACAAGAATTACAAGGACCCATAGCGGCAGCCAGAGTAACCGAATGGCTGAAAGCCACAGGAGAATCGAACGATTTACCGACGTTTGAGCGACCGACACTTGACCATCCGACAGTTGAACGCCCCCGACATTTGAGCGACCGACATTTTGAGTAATAACGACAGTTCAGCACCAAGTGCTCCCCCTCGCCACCTTCACCCTCATTTGAGCGACCGCATCTGAAGGACTCCAATAATTGAGCGAAGCGCATCACTTCTAGCTACTCACCCTCTCCCTACACAGCCTCACCCTCTACAGATCTCCAAATAATTCAGTTCATAATCGGACGACAAAAAAATTGTTCTGATCATCGTTATCGAAGTGAATAATCATTCGACTTTCCTGATCGGCAAAAAGTCATATTGAAAAGTG